TTGCTCAAGGTATTGGATATTTGGACCCATATTCTAGAACGGGGTGGTAATATCGACAATATTTACCTAGATTTTGCCAAGGCTTTCGACAGTGTACCCCACGAAAGGCTGAAAATCAAACTGGAAGGGTACGGAATTCGGGGAAATGTCCTAGCGTGGATAGAAGACTTTCTACATGACCGCAAGCAATGTGTGGTGATTAATGGCACGAAATCGTCATCTGTACCTGTAACAAGTGGGGTACCGCAGGGTAGTGTATTGGGCCCGCTGTTGTTTGTTTGTTTCATAAATGATATGCCTGACGTTGTACACTCCTCCATACAAATGTTTGCCGATGACGCCAAGTTATTTCGGGAAATTAAGAACCAAGCGGACTGTGAAGAGCTGCAGAAGGACCTCTGTGGGCTCCAGGAATGGTCGAAGGAATGGCTGCTGAGATTCAATGTCACGAAGTGTAAGAGGATGCACCTGGGGCGTACCAACGGTAAGGAGGCGTACCATATGTCCCAACGGGATGAAGAAAATGTACTAGTTGAGACTGTGTGTGAGAAGGACCTAGGTGTGTATGTTGACAATGAGCTGAAGTTCTCGGGCCATTGTGAGAAGAAGGTAAATCAGGCAAATAAATTATTGGGTCTTATAAGAAGGTCGTTCAGATATCTAGACGGTCCGTCCCTCGTGACGATCTTCAGGAGTGAAGTGCTTCCCCATCTGGAGTACTGTCACCCCATCTGGTCCCCGAGATATGCTAGGGACTGTCAGTTGGTTGAAAATGTTCAAAGGAGGGCCACCAAGCTGGTGCCTGCACTTCGGCATCTCAGCTACCCTGCGAGATTGGAGCGCCTGAACTTGCCTAGCTTATACTACAGACGGGCAAGGGGGGACCTAGTTGAGGTTTATAAGCATCTCAGGGGGCACTACTCAGTTGAGTGTCCTTACTTGGAGCTGGCGGACGCTCGCCCCACAAGGGGTCACAGCTCAAGATTGAAGAAGCCGCAAGTCCGGAAAACCGTGAGGGCAAACTTTTTCGGAGTGAGGGTTGTAAACTCTTGGAACAATCTACCAGAAAGTGTTGTGACGGCACCGAGTGTGAGCTCTTTCAAGAGAAGACTTGACCAACACTGGAGCGGGTTCAGGTACATTCAGGAGCCGGTGCATGCCCAGTATTTGCCAACAGTGCGTGACAGAGACGTGACCGATCGCCCGGGCGGCTAGCGAGCCGACCTTTTGGTGAAGAATATAAAGGAAAAGAGTCGTGACCGATCGCCCAAGCGGCTAACAAGCCGATCAGTGGCGAAGAGGATAAAAGTAAAGTGTACTAAGGGCAAGACTGAATGTAAATATTGCAAAGACCAACATATGTGGGCCACATATGATGGCGTTGTGTAAGAATCTCAGAACCCAACGACGAACAAGAACCTGGTCTCCAGGCCAACTAAGGTAAGAAATAGGTGATTCCATCATATGGTGAGAGTCAGTTAAGTCAGGTTAGGTTAGGTTAGGTTTTTCTAGTGTGTTTTGGTATATTTTTTATTGGCTAAGCGATTATTTTTTTTCGAAAAACGTCTCGAAAAAAATTCGAAAAAAACCCGGCCAATTTCCGACGAAAATGAAGGTCATATTCGGTCGAAGCACACACACAGACACGCACAAATTTACCGACAATAATACTAGTTAAGTTTCCCACACGTGAATGAAAGAAAATGGGTCCGATCAACGGAGTCTAAGGGACCGCTCATCAGCTGAGCGAGCACCATGACTTGTTTTAATTGTTGTGGTGAAAATTTAAGGTAGGTATTTTATCTTAATTATGTTTTGACAATATTTTTTGTATTACCATGGTTGATCAATGATATAATGAATATGTGTGGATTTTATAGGTCGAATAATAATTAGATGGTGGTTTATGATGAGAAATAGGAGCTGTAATTGATATATTTTGAATGCAAGGTTGAAGTGTACTGTATGTGGCCAGGGTGGACGGAAATAAAGTCACATGACTTGTACAATACACGTTGACAACACATTTTTTTTTTGGGGGGGGCACCCTCCTACATCCTTGTGTAAGGTGAAGCACAGAAGCGTTTACAGCGCCCAACAGGGAAGCATGCAAAGTTCATGCTTGCCTTTATGCCTCATGAGTTAAGGGCTTATTGTAGAGCCTGAAGAGTCAATGGTGTATGTCATCAAGTTATTGGAAGCTCCAACAACTTGTCCCTGAATACTAATTCGCAACTTTCGACTTACACCAGGTACCTACTTTACTGCTAGGTGAACAGGGACTAATGGGGGCTAGGAAGTAAGTCCAAACAACTTCCACCGGCCCGGGAATCGAACCCGTGACATCTTGCTTGCGAGACAAGAGCGATACCGCTTCTACCACCGGCCCCCCCAGACAACACAATATATATATGATGGCATTGCACATAAGTTAGGTTAGGTTAGGTTTTTACCGTGCCTTTTTGTGACTTTTTTTCCTGGATTCGTGGCCAGTCGTCAAACTTCTCTGTTTGTCGATTTCTCTTTGTTAGGCTCACATACATAAGTACATGTAGGAGATCTCGCATTAAGGATGGAGGCAAGAAGGGAAACTCATAATGGCGTTTTCTGTATATATATATATATTGTATGTACAGTGCAGTGCTAGGGAGTTGCTGTGTGGTGAGAAGCTTGTTGAGAGGTCTTGTTGGTTTGAGAGCTTTGAGTAGAATGATCTTCACGGCTAGGCTGAGGAGTATTTATACGATTCTGCAGGATCAGAGGAGAGAGGTGTGATGTGAGTGGCGCTGCTGATTGGCTGAGGTAAAGGCGGTAACGGGCCAATTACAGCGCAGTCCGAGAATAAGGCCTGGACTGTGGAACTCGCTGCTGATTGGCTGGTAAGCGAACGGGAAGTGATCAGTCAGCAGTTGTAGGGGAGAGTATCCACTACAGGGTACTGTATGTGAAGATGTGAATTACACGAAAACTTGTTCTAGAACCCTTGCTACAGGAAACACCAGGTATAATGTACTGCTGTATCACCAGTATATTAACCCTTGCTACAGGAAACAGCAGGTATAATGTACTGCTGTATCACCAGTATATTAACCCTTGCTACAGGAAACAGCAGGTATAATGTACTGCTGTATCACCAGTATATTAACCCTTGCTACAGGAAACAGCAGGTATAATGTAATGCTGTATCACCAGTATATTAACCCTTGCTACAGGAAACAGCAGGTATAATGTACTGCTGTATCACCAGTATATTAACCCTTGCTACAGGGAAGAGCAGGTATAATGTACTGCTGTATCACCAGTACATTAACCCTTGCTACAGGAAACAGCAGGTATAATGTACTGCTGTATCACCAGTATATTAACCCTTGCTACAGGAAACAGCAGGTATAATGTACTGCTGTATCACCAGTATATTAACCCTTGCTACAGGAAACAGCAGGTATAATGTACTGCTGTATCACCAGTATATTAACCCTTGCTACAGGAAAGCAGGTATAATGTACTGCTGTATCAGTATATTAACCCTGTATAATGTACTGCTGTATCACCAGTATATTAACCCTTGCTACAGGAAACAGCAGGTATAATGTACTGCTGTATCACCAGTATATTAACCCTTGCTACAGGAAACAGCAGGTATAATGTACTGCTGTATCACCAGTATATTAACCCTTGCTACAGGAAACAGCAGGTATAATGTACTGCTGTATCACCAGTATATTAACCCTTGCTACAGGGAAGAGCAGGTATAATGTACTGCTGTATCACCAGTACATTAACCCTTGCTACAGGAAACAGCAGGTATAATGTACTGCTGTATCACCAGTATATTAACCCTTGCTACAGGGAAGAGCAGGTATAATGTACTGCTGTATCACCAGTACATTAACCCTTGCTACAGGAAACAGCAGGTATAATGTACTGCTGTATCACCAGTATATTAACCCTTGCTACAGGAAACAGCAGGTATAATGTACTGCTGTATCACCAGTATATTAACCCTTGCTACAGGAAACAGCAGGTATAATGTACTGCTGTATCACCAGTATATTAACATTAACCCTTGCTACAGGAAACAGCAGGTATAATGTACTGCTGTATCACCAGTATATTAACCCTTGCTACAGGAAACAGCAGGTATAATGTACTGCTGTATCACCAGTATATTAACCCTTGCTACAGGAAACAGCAGGTATAATGTACTGCTGTATCACCAGTATATTAACCCTTGCTACAGGAAACAGCAGGTATAATGTACTGCTGTATCACCAGTATATTAACCCTTGCTACAGGAAACAGCAGGTATAATGTACTGCTGTATCACCAGTATATTAACCCTTGCTACAGGAAACAGCAGGTATAATGTACTGCTGTATCACCAGTATATTAACCCTTGCTACAGGAAACAGCAGGTATAATGTACTGCTGTATCACCAGTATATTAACCCTTGCTACAGGAAACAGCAGGTATAATGTACTGCTGTATCACCAGTATATTAACCCTTGCTACAGGAAACAGCAGGTATAATGTACTGCTGTATCACCAGTATATTAACCCTTGCTACAGGAAACAGCAGGTATAATGTACTGCTGTATCACCAGTATATTAACCCTTGCTACAGGAAACAGCAGGTATAATGTACTGCTGTATCACCAGTATATTAACCCTTGCTACAGGAAACAGCAGGTATAATGTACTGCTGTATCACCAGTATATTAACCCTTGCTACAGGAAACAGCAGGTATAATGTACTGCTGTATCACCAGTATATTAACCCTTGCTACAGGAAACAGCAGGTATAATGTACTGCTGTATCACCAGTATATTAACCCTTGCTACAGGAAACAGCAGGTATAATGTACTGCTGTATCACCAGTATATTAACCCTTGCTACAGGGAAGAGCAGGTATAATGTACTGCTGTATCACCAGTATATTAACCCTTGCTACAGGGAAGAGCAGTGCAGTATATACTAATTTTTATTTATTATTATCAGGTGCAATCCAGTCTGATGACCATGATTCTTGGTGCGATAACAGAGTGTGCGGTGTTTGGTGCACACGCTACCAAATGTGCTAAATACGGTAGCTCACTCCTGCTCCCTCGGTGTATTGCAACAGGAGCAGTACAGCAACAGATCAATGCAGCAAAGAAAGCACAACCTAATGATGAAAGAGCAGCACCACGACCTACCAGTGAGATCCCAGGGCCAAGGATATTCCCTATTATTGGGAGTCTACTGTCCATGTTAATAAATTATAGTAAGTTTTAACTGTTATTATTATTGTAACAGCAAAGGCAATTACAGGTAAGCTTTTTTCTATTGCATCTACAAAAATACTTTCTCACTAAGGCCCATGCATCTATTTTTGGTGTCTTCACAGTTTGTAAAAATTTAATGATTGTTGGTTACTGTATTAAGTTATAGTCACACTGCCACACTTTTCATTGTTAAGTTAGTAACACTACCACACCATTGGTTGTTAAGTTAACTAAGTTGCTAAGTTAGTCACAGTCACACTACCACACCTTTCTTGTTTTGTTTTGAAATTACCATTATGTTACCAGTAGCCCTCTTTAATTCTCTTTGTTTCAACAGAGTTTGATTCGCGAGCCATTCACAAAATGTGGATAGAAATAATCAAGGATTATGGACCCATTGTCCAGTTTCATCAGCCTGGAATGGGTAAAATGGTGGCACTGACCAATCCTGATGATATTGAACTGGTCACACGGGCAACGATTGAAAACCCTGTGCGAATAGGCTTTGAATCATTGCAGAAAATTCGGATGGACACAGTTGATGATTACTTTGAGAAGAAGACTGGCATTCTTATCGAGTAAGTACAAAGAAAATCAACACATGAAGTTAGAAACTTTTCATTCAAAAGTGTGAAATTTAATATTTTAATGTATGAATAGTTTAAAAGACTCATTCACAGTCAATAAATGTACAGTCTTACATTCAAGGCTCACTGACCAGACACCCTTGTATGTATTTTATTTTATTTACTTTTACTTACTTACTTACTTACTTTTATCCTCTTCACCAACACTGATCGGCTCGTTAGTGGCTTGGGCGATCGGTCATGTCTCTGTTACACACTGTTGGCAAGTACTGGGCATGTACTGGCTCCTGAATGTATCTGAACCTGCTCCAGTGCTTATCCAGTCTGGTCTTGAAAGAGCTCACACTCGGTGCCATCACAACACTCTCTGGCAGATTGTTCCTTGAGTTCAAAACTCTCACTTCGAAAAAGTTACCACTCACAGTTTTCTGGGCTTGTGGCTTCTTCAACCTTGAACTGTGACCACCTCGTGGGGTGAGCATCTGCCAACTCCAGGTAAGGGTACTCGACTGTGTAGTGCCCTTTGAGATGCTTATACTCCTCAATTATGTCCCCCCTAAATTATATCTTGCGCTTGTGAGACCACACTTGGATTACGCAGTTCAATTCTGGTCACCGTATTACAGAATAGATATAGAATCCTTGGAAAGAATTCAGAGGAGAATGACAAGACTAATCCCGGGCATTAGGAACCTTGAGTACAGAGACAGGTTAAAGCATCTTAATTTGCACTCCCTCGAGAGACATAGAGTGAGGGGCGACATGATAGAGGTGTTTAAATGGAAGTCAGGGCTGAACAAAGGGGACAATACAAAGGTACTCAAACTATCCAACCAGCAGCAAACTCGTAACAATGGTTTTAAATTAGACAAATTTAGATTTGGGCGCGAAATAGGTAAACATTGGATTGGAAATAAAGTAGTGGACGAGTGGAACAAGTTACCAAATATCATCATTAACTCGAATACGCTGGATAGCTTCAAACATAGGTTGGTTGGATATATGAGCAATAGGGGTTGGGTGTAAATAGGACTGCTCAGTATAGGCCAATAGGCCCGCTGCAGTTTCCTCCATTCTTGTATTCTTGCCCGTCTGTAGTAAACGCAAGGCAATTTCAGGCGCTCTAATCTCTCAGGATAGCTGAGGTGCCACAGTGCAAGCACCAGTCTGGTGGCCCTCCTTTGGACATTTTCAATCAACTGACAGTCCCTAGCTTATCTCAGGGACCAGACGGGGTCACAGTACTCCAGACGGGGAAGCATTTCACTCTTGAAGATCATTACAAGGGATGGATCGTTTAGATATCTGAACGACTTTCTTATAAGACCCAATAATTTAGTTGCCTGATTTACCTTCTTCTCGCAATGGCCCGAGAACTTCAGCTCATTGTCAACGTACACACATATGATGCGCCTCCTTACCGTTGGTACGTCCCAGTTGCATCTTCTTTCACTTCGTGATATTGAATCTTCGCAGCCATTTCTTCGACCATTCTTGAAGCTCACAGAGGTCCTTCTGCAGCTCTTCACAGTCTGTAAACATTTGTATGGAGGAATGTACAGCTTCAGGCCAGTCATTTATGAAACAAACAAACAGCAGCGAGCCCAATGCACTGCCCTGTGGTACCCCGCCTGTGACGGGTATGGATGATGATTTCGTGCCATTATTTACCACACACTGCTTGCGGTCATGTAGAAAGTCTTCTATCCATGCGAGGACATTTCCCCAAATCCCGTACCCTTCTAAATTAATTTTCAGCCATTCGTGGGGGTACACTGTCGAAAGCCTTGGCCAAATCTAGGTAAATATTGTCGATATTACCACCCCGTTCCAGAATTTGGGTCCAAATTTTCAGCACTTTGAGTAATTGTGTTAAGCAGGAGCGCTCCGGCATATAACCGTGTTGGCAATCCTTTACAAGGTTGTTTCGTAGTAGATGTTCCATCATGGCATCTTTTATAATACTCTCAAGTATCTTACGTACTATGCTGGTCAGGCTCACCGGTCTATAGTTGCTCATGGAGTGACGATCGCTCTTCTTGAAGATAGGACTCGCATAAGCTATTTTCCAATTACTGGGGACATTTTGCTCATCCAGGCATTTGCTAAACAGGATCTTCAGGGGCTCGGCAAGCTCGTTGCACAACTCTCTTAGCACTCTGGGTTGCACCTTGTCAGGTCCGGGACTCTTATGGACCTTTAGATTGGACAGTTTATTTCTTATAACCTTTTCTGTGAACACAATGTGGGTCAGTGCTGTGTCATACCGTCTGTCCTCAAACACAGGAAGATTGTTCGCATCCTCTCTTGTAAACACCGAGGAAAAGGAACTGTTCAATGCCTCTGCTTTGTCTTGGTCACAGTCTGCGTAACAACCATCTTCAAGCCTTAGGTCCGATACTCCAACTAGCGTTTTAATTTCGACTTTGCATAGCGGTAAAATGCCCTTGGGTTTGACTTGACCTTGCTTGCAACCAGCCTCTGGAATTCCTTTTCAGCCCTCCTCCTGTCCTACTCATCGGTTTACCTAACCCATGTCTTGAATTTCTGGGTTTTCTTCTTAACTTTGTTGACCGCCGTATGGTTCATGTGTAGTGGTCTCCTTGTATTCCTAGAGGCCTGGGTTTGGTCTTGGGTATGTATTTCTCGATCAAATGGTTCACTTTGTTAGCTATGGTATTCAGCGTAGTGTCCGCATTCTTATGTCTTAGTGAGTCAGGCCGGTGGATACCCCTCATCTCCTCCCTCATCCTGTCGTAATTTCTCTTGTAATTTTTTTTTTCGGGGATTAGCCCACCTGGGCACAGGTCACTGACCCACATCGGGGTCTGGGGGGTGAAAATGTATTATAATAATAATTCATAGTAAATAAAATTTATAATTCAAAGTAAAATAAAATATTTATGGTAATAATAATAATAACAACACTGTGATAATAATAATAATAAATACAAAGAAATACAAGAATGAAAAAAAGTCAATAGTGAAAAATGCTATATGTACATATGTTGTGTTGTCATGTAAGAGAAAAAATTGAGACCTTGCATTTTCTCGAGCTTGTCAATGCCTTTCCCGTCACGAAGGACCAGGGCTGGTGCGTGGTAATCTATCAGAGATCTTATGTAGCCTAGGTACATTGTTTTAACAATTCTAATATTAGCACCATAGTGCGGGCTGTACCCCGCTACACTTTTAAGAGGTCTCAGTCTGTCAGTACATTGGCGGGTTAGCTGTTGTATGGCAGGTAAGGTACAAGGGATGGAAACACCAAGATATTTAAAAGAAGAAACATAGTCAATAGTGTTGTTACCTATCTTGAACTTGGCGGGGCCGCATATGCGGTGACCAGCTTGCTTGTTGAACACCTTAGTTTTCTCAGTGGAGATAATAAGACCGAGGTTCTCACAGGCTGCGTATACATGGTTCAGGGTGGTTTGCATTTCACAATGAGTTTTAGTATGTATAAGAATATCATCAGCATAGCTGATTGAGATATTGCTGGGGTTGTCTGGTATTAAATTTAATAATGCATTTATAAGAACATTGAACAAAGTGGGGCTAAGTACTCCACCTTGAGGTGTACCAAGTTGCATATCTTTAACTTCACTTTTGTAACCCTGGTTGGGAGGTAGAGCTGGTGGAGGGTGTACTGCTGCCCTCTCGGCTCAGCGCTGATGCACTCACTACTACAACCCTCCCCCTGGATGTAACCCATGGACAACCGTCCCTGTTCTACCCGGGCTCCTCCCTCCTCTGCTTCAAGCCCTGCATGAGCTTCCCATGCTGTTTCCTCTACAATATCGTGCGATCTGGGTGAATGAATACATTCAGAGATGCCTCTCTCCTCGCTAAGATTTTTGCCTGCCGAATAATTTCTCATTTCTTCTCCTCACTCACTAGTGTGATCCTGAGGGGAGGAGGCTTGTCCTGCATTTCTCCCAGCCTCCTCACATATATTGTACAGTTGTCTCATGGTAACTGTCTGCAACACAGTCCTGAGTATGAAAATTATATTACAGGTGATCTATCACATTGCTAAAGTGCTCACATTTATTTAGCAACACAGCTACCGGTAATGGTAATTTACTGATAGGCTGGGGTGTGGGGCACTGGGGCTGGGACTATATCTGACATCATTCCTTAACTTGTCAGCTTATAGTTGAACACTTTATTTTTACCTAAGTCTATTAAGAGGATATTCCAGTTCCCTTGGAAGGTACAGGTAGTATATAGGAGTCAAATAGAATTTCAGAAAAGTTTTATTTTGAAAGCTTACACCCATTTATTCTGGGTTGGGATTTGTCAGGTTTACCTTAATGTTCACTTTTGGGACATTGTAATCCTATCTGTCCAGTAAGTGCATTGGAGTTGTTTATGACCTATTTCCTGCAAATCCAGAGCTACCCCTGACCCAACAAAATTAAATCAAGGCATGACAGATTTATTGACATTTGGACTTTGGATTCTCAAGCAACAAAAATTTGGCTGTGAATTCATAATGTCAACGCCTGCAGTTGCCTAGCATATATTGTAGTACAGGTTGTACCTCTCTAGTCCGGCAACCTCGGGACCTGACCGGTGCCGGACCATGGAAATTCACCCTTTTCTTGGATAGATAGTGACTTGTGCTTATGCTTGGAAGCACTAGCACCACTTTCTCTGCATCATGGTCTCTTTGAAGACATATTGAAGGGTTAAATGTCGTAAAGCAGCCTCTCAAATTTCGCGAGTTTTTAATTCTTAACGTATTTTATTGGAACACAAAAAAAAAATAAAAAAAAAATTTGACAGCGGAAACTTGAATTTCGACGGGTTTGAACGGCCCGCCAACGTGCAGACGACGTGCATAATCGTGTAAACAGCGTCATTTCTCTTATGTACAAAAGATTCATTATTGTTTATTACTGAATGTCTTTTTTTATTGAATTCATGTTTATGTGTGCAAAATGAGCAATACAATTCATTAATAATACGTAGAATATTAAAACACACGAGGAAATGACACAGCATTGTTTTTGTTGATTACAAAGCCAGTGACTGACTGGTTCTACATATAAAACTGAAGAAAATAAGACCTTGGTTGTAGCTGTAGTAAAATTAATATGGTTGTTTTAAGTAATGTTATTTAATGTTAATAAATGGAACAATAGAAGTAGCTAACGATAATGGTAAAGAAAAAGAGAGATCGTGTATGTAAGTGCGCATGCGCACACGTGAAAACATATCGTCATTACTTTACATAAGAATATGAAAGCAACACTTATTTACTGTTCATATATATTTTAATTAATGTTTCTGAATTTGTTTTTATTGAATTAATGTGTGTGTGTGCAAAATTAACAATACAATTTATTAATAATACGTGAAATATTAGAGGAGACGAGACGGCTGCCGGCATTGTTTATGTTAAAGCTTACGAAACCAGCGACTGATTGGTTCTACATATAAAACAGAAGAAAATAAGACCCTGATTTTAGCTGTAGTAAAATTAATGTAAAAAAATTAATATGGTTGTTTGAAGTACCTGTAATATTATTTAATGTTAATAAATGGAACAATATAAGTAGCTAACCATTAATGGTAAAAAAAAGTGAGACTGCGCGTATGTAAGTGTGCACATGTGAAAACATATCGTCATTACTCTACATAAGAATATGAAAGCAACCCTTATTTACTGCTCATATATATTGAAGGGTTAAATGTTGTACTCTGTATAGACAAGCAGAGAGAGAGAGAGAGAGCAACCGAACTGCCGGATGTAAACAAACCTTAATTTCCCGCGGCTTTGTTTGTTTTGTTTTTTTTAAGGGGATTAGCCCACCCGGGCATAGGTCACTGACCCACATTGGGGCCTGAGGGGCAAAAATTTAATACTCCTGTAATAATAATTAAAAAAAAAAAAGCTGCCTATCTACCTATTGGACAAAGTAAAATCGTTCCGGACCACGGGAGTTTCCGGACCACAGAATGCCGGACTTGAGAGGTACAACCTGTACTGGGACCCGCATACTCAAAAGCATTTACTGAATTACGGGACTGTATCTCTTTGTTTACCCCGTAACTGGACTTACAGTCTGATCAGTATACTCAAAACAAATATTTGGCGGTGGTCTTTGTAAGCGAGTCCGTAACTTACAGGACTTCCTTAGGTGCTGTAACACGCTCAACCCGGATATAGTAGTCGCTAATTTCCGATTGCATAAAAAAAATTAATAATAGTATATGTTGTAATAAACCTTGTTTGACTTGTTTTACCATAGAATAATCAAGAAAATGTTTAGTACATCAACGTACTAAAATGCGATATTACAGTTTGTCTTTAAATTTCTTTTTTCTTTTTTTTTTACGATAAGTTATTTAAGAAGAGGCTTGAGGCAGTTGAGTGTTTCTATTTCTCGCTGAATGGAAGAGAGGCAGCTTTTGTCTTCTTACAACTTTTCAAGTAATTTGTACCAGAATAGAAGATTTTTATTGCCCACATTTATGGTAAAAAAAAATTATGACTGAGTAAACTTGCAGATAGACTTTATTAATGTGGTATAGCCGTAAATATCCTTCAGTAATGAAAGTCACATTTTTGCCTACTTTGCTAGGGCCAAGTTATAACAAGTTATTCTGCCAAGTATCCAAGAAGTGCCTATGACTCAGAGTTAAATAATACCTAACCCAATCTAAGTTCATCAAACCTGATAAAAAAGGTGGTAAAAATTAAGTAGTATTACATTTTTTTCTTAGAAAAAGAATTATGTTCATAGGTTCTTTTATCCGATACATTCAGTCATGATTTTTCACTGGGCAATTAGTGAAATGTATCTTATCCTAACAAAACCTAACCTTACCTAATCTTACTTTACCTGATCTAACCTAACCTAATATTACCCTACCTATGACCTGACGACGTACAGCTACTGTGCTTAGAGATGGCATGGTAAATTTTTTTTTTCTTTCTTTCTGATTAAGAAGATTATTAAGGGTCATTGCCTTATGACCGGAACATTGTGGACCCCTACTGTCCCCTAGGGACTTGATCACACTCTCCTCTACTGTATATATTAGCCTTGTGTATTACTCCTTAGTCTGTACTCACCCCTGAAGATGTAAATTTCACGAAAGCGCTTGGGAACTTCGTGCTTTCTTTTTTCCTCGTGGTTATCAGCATACCATATACTTGGATCACGTGCACCTACAGTACAATGATTTACTTGCATATATATATATATATATATATATATATATATATATATATATATATATATATATATATATATATATATATATATATATATATATATATATATATATATATATATATATATATTTATTTATTTATTTATTTATTTATTTATTTTGGCTTATATTGGGCATTGGTTAACCATTGTCCTCAAGTATTACTCAAACATAATTCCATCTTCACTAATGACGCTTGATGTACGTCTAACAACTATCACGTGCGTCGATCTCAGCTAATTTCTCCTTCTCTTGTGATTGGTTATTGATTTTGTTAACTGAGCGACGATTGGCCAACTAGCTCCTGTACTGCCATCTACCTTCTGACAAGAGAACTATATTATTACAGGGTAAACACTAGAGTTGCCGACTGCTTACAAGACTATAATTAAATTTTGAGTATGAGAAATTTATGGGACTGTAAGGAATCTGTAAGTTACGGTACTGTATCTCTGCTACTGTATGTAACTGATGAAATGTTTTTAGTATGCTGCCTACTGTAGATGGGTAAAGGAAGATTTGATAAAAGTTATAAACACCTCAGAGTAATTACTCAATCAAAGTGTTCATTGCTGGAACTAACAGATGCACACTCCATTACAGGTCATAACTTAGTTCAAGTCAAGGAACCACAAGTGCAGAACTCTTGGAAAAACCTGAGTAAATAGATAGGACTAACCAGTGAGCGAAATTAATTGAAAAAATTATGAAAACACCGGATTTTCACTGTTATATTATAATGGACATTGTTGTAGTTTGTGGAAATTTGTTAAAATTGGATATTTTAAAAATAAACTGTACTTAACATTTGTGGATATGTAAAACAGACCTATCCAACCTAACTAAACAAATCTACCTTATCTTATCTAACTTCCTTATTGGGGAGCTCCACCACCCCGGACCCCCCCAGGTATATTAAACAGAAAGAACTTACTATGATATGGTGAAATTTGAGGTTTTTCTGGACGTGAGATGATACGGCTGCATCGGCGCCATTCACCCCGGGCGTCGGAGTGATTTACTGTATTGGCAGGTTCCACAATAAATGATTATTATATCAGAAATCACTGAGGAAAATAATGTAAGGAATAATGCTGCGATCTTTAAACAATTGAAGGGTCTCGTTGTTTTTACCCCTAAATTCACAAATTACATCCTGGGCGTGAGAAAAGCCCCTCAGCAGACCGTGGCCTCATTACCGCTCGCAAGATAAACTGTGCGCACATAGGTGCCTTATTATCTATGAAACAAGCAATTTACACAATAAATGATTATCATATCAGAACTCACTGATGAAAATATTGTAAGCAAATAAACAGCAATAAAAATAACTCGCTCACGGGTTAGTCCTGTATATTAACCAAAACCTTCTTAAACATTGTGTTAGTACAATGGATGAGACTTGACCAAGGTTGGTGCATGTTCAGGTACATATTCAAGAGTCCTTACTTGCCCAATATACTGTACTTGCCAACAGTGCATGACATAAAAATTTCTGATCACTTGAGCAGCTAGGCAGCTGATCATTGGCAAAGAGAATAAGAATAAGAGACAAGAAGAGTTAAGTGAGCTGGAACTGTAGGTGTTGTTTGCATTATCCTTTGTAATCAATGATAAATATGGATCTTGGATCTCAAGCATGTTAGTACAACAGTGAAGATGCTCAGCTTTCATCCTGAGAGGCAAGTAAGGCTTAATAGACCCCAAGTTTAAAAGGCTGGGTTGTGTTGGAAGAAATTGACAATTTTGGGGGGATTACTGTACACTAGTTAGCAAATATATGATATAAAATATGATTTCAGAATCAAACTTTCATTTTTTAGAGTCTCAAATATATTGAAAGAATATTGAATTTCATAATGTTGTCCATAATAATTGTCTTACAATTTGACTGAAAAACAAAAAACAGAAAACATTTAAGTTTCATGTTTCATTACATGTTGCAAGACACAGTCATGATTGATTTTTCACTGAATCATATTTAGATTTATGAAATGAATACTGTATAAAGATATTAAGTTTAACCCAAAGGTTAATGTTGTAGGAATGGTGAGGAGTGGTGGAGGGTCCGCAGTCGAGTACAGACACCCATGATGAAGATCAAGAACGTTAATGCGTATCTCACGAGGATGGACGAGGTCACCCTTGTGTTTATGGACAGGTATACTTGTTTAATTGTTTGTCACTGAATAGATACTTTATATACAAAGGTGTCTCACTAAAATGTAGATGGGTGAATGGTTGGATTACAGATAAACATTGCCCTCACTTATGGGAGACCTAGCATATCAACAAGTGTTTTGTTGCAATGTAAGCATTCACCTAATCTCCAAGAAAATCAATGTGTAGGGCAGTGTTTATGAATTTTTTGAGACACTCTGTATATGTTCTGTACGTAGGTCATGAACATATTTTGTGCACAGTATTGTGATTATATTGCAGCTTTGTATTGGCACAATAATATTGTCTGATATACACTTTATCTGGTGTAGGCTAAGCACTGACTGTTGCTGTATTTAAGAAATTCTTGAAACATTAGCACTTGCAAGAAGGTGCAATTTCATTCTGTACACAAAGAATCAATGCTGTAAAATGTTTATTAAGTAATGAAGTACGTACTGTACAGTATAGTAATGTAATTAACTAACTAAAGTAAGGTAACCTATTATTTGCTCTTGAGGAACATTGTTTTATAATTATAGATTAATAGATTTGAGTGTTAGATCACTCCAAGGCTGTGTCCCATTTGCAGGTGACTAGTGTGCACTTTTGGGCCTGGATACAGTATGATAATTTTTGGGATAGATAATTTTAGTAATCATCTTGACCTTATATAAAACATGGCTGTAGAGCAGAAGCTTCATCTTTGCTCTTGATACAACATCAGTAACCTGTCTTTATGTATCCCTAAAGGATTGCAGCATTGCAGGAACAGTTTGGGGAAATGCCAAGTGACTTCCAATTTGAACTTTATAAGTGGGCTCTTGAATGTAAGTATTACTGTACTGTATTGAGGCAGAAGTAGTACATGTACTAGGGGCCATACAGGTACTAATTCTGCCCTTGTGATTTATTTACCAATTTAGGCACTGCAGATTCATCATCTTATGTTGATTGAATGCTTAGGAAAACAAAACAAGAAAACGACCAGGGCCTTAACCTTCATCCTTCACTAGCTGAAAAATATCATGGTGTACTGTACAGCAGCCCTACTGTCGGCAATTAAATGTTCACCATTAGCCTCTAAAAGACAGATGACATGCCTATGTTTAAAATATTGCAGTTTGAGAATTGGGAGTAATGTCCAGTACTATTAACATTATGGTCTAATTTTCAAGTTACTGTATCTTGAAACTGTTTCTTCTAGCAGTGGCACAGGAGTAGGTGCTCTAATAACATCTTTAGTAGAATCACTCATAATCTGCTAGGTCATAATCCACAGACCACAGTATGCAAAGTAAATTTTGCAGATAACATAAATTGCCTGATTTTTTTTATTTTCAGATTCTCTAGGTTCATTATGTACTGAAAGGTATACAGGGTTAAATAGTTATTATACTATATTTACAACTAGGTTGTCCCTCAACCCCTTGTGCATGGGCTCCCCTCTAAGATGAATAAACTCGTCTGGCATTAGCCAAATGAAATACAGTACACTATTAAAAATGGCATCCTCGTAGTGAAGGGGATAGAGTTTGTCATTTATTGTACAGTATACCTTAATATTCACAGGGTTTATGTGTATGGAAACTGGTGCTAGTGTTTAACCCTACCTGGTGCTGGACGGGGCTCTTTTAGCACCCACCTCCCTCAGCCTATTCCTTGGTACATATTTAGCTAAATACATACAGACTTACTTAATTCTCCTAGAAAACTTATGAAAATATGAAAAATAATGTAATTATTTAGTTATCATTGTCCTTTCTGTCCAATGAAATATTTTTTTATTGGATACTGTATATGGTAAAACATAAAATAATGAAAATGTAACAATATAAAACTCAGATGAACTATTGTGAGAAATATGGTGCTGCCGGCACACGCTGCCAGATGTGTGATTAACACTCGCGGCTCTAGAGTCCTCTACCCTTTCCACGCTAACCTGGCCCATAAGCCACGCCCTCATCTGTAGCTACAAATAACTGATTGGTTCCTCCTGAGCGTCTTACCTCCCTTCGACTGCGCGTGTGTATATCTACCTTTTATGATAATTATTAAAACAATTCTAACATCCTCTCAGAACTGCTTATGCCTTGAAATCATTTGCATTTTGATAGTTTAGATAATTATTTTACAGTATTTGAGATAATAACAGGTCTAAAATTGTGAACACATTTATTTTGAAATTTCTATGAACCAATCAGCTATTAGTACAGTCATGCGCCGGTTAACGTCCGACCGAACAACGTCCGATCGCATATACGTCCGTGTCGCCTGCTCGACCACCACTCCACGACCCCCTGACGGAGACACGATGATCCTCCCCATACTGGTCAGATATTATGTGTTAAAGGAATATGCTTCCTATCTTAGGCTATTTTTAAACATTTGCCCCCAGGTGTAATGTTAATCTACATAAAATCTTTCACCTACAAATTGACAATAACACATTTGCTGTAATCAGACATATCTAATTGCCTCAACAATTGCAACCCCAGTTGCAATTGGGGTTGCAATTTCAAATTCTATGGCATTACTAAGTATAGTGAAGTCTCTGGTGCACTCTAAGATTAAAGAGAGAAAACGGAGGACTCAGGCGTCCTAATGTGAGAGAAAACAGACTCGTATGATGGGGGACCAAATAAAAAAAGCATAGCTACATGTTTTGTGGACTACAGTATTAAGTGTACCCTTTTCATCACTTTGTAATAAACCTAGCCATGCCTATGTGTGTTTATGATAATTACCATAACATTATATATATATTTAGTGGGTCTAAATGGTCGTAAAATGGGAAACTTGGGGTTGGGTCTTGGGTAAATGAACCAATTAGAATAAATCCCATAGGTTCTGTACTTTCGTTATCGGCGGGGTCCCAATTAGGCGCGATAACCAAGGGATGACTGTACTGTACTGTATATACTTGTGACACTGGCCAGCTGCTTCTGGTGTTATGGTACAGGGGTACCAAGTGACAGCACTAGGATCCCGCTTCCTCTATCAAGGAATAAACAATTAAAATTTAAATTGAAAAAAAAACATTCAAATAATGGGACCTAGCGAACCTAAATGGCCCTAGAGCGGGCACAGTCACGTATGCATGGCGTATTCTTATAGATTGTGCTGCCAGGCGTACGTTATCTAGTGAATTTAGTCAATATTGTACAGTAACAATGGACCTAAGTGCAAACCTGTATTGTACATGTACTAAATGATTACGGTACTAAAATTGTTATGTCTATTGCAAATATAGCTTGTTTATACAGGTATTCAAATAAATTACTATCTTACAAGAATCCCTCCAATGTAAGTTATATTCACCCAGGTCGTTTGGGTGGCAAATTATGAGAAGAGCTTAGTCACTCTTAAGTAATGATAAATAAACACGCAGGCAGGCCTTCAGCGCCAACTGTCAAATCTTATCTCAAATAAATAAACAAACAAACGCCAGACATTCTGTCACCTCACCTCCCGCTCCCCTCCCCTTGTGTTCCCAGACAAAAGATTGGTGATTTCTTTATGTTTATTTTATATAATATCTCAGACTAAAGTTAGGATAATATAATTTGCATTGCTGAAATCCTTGCAAGACAGAGATTAATTTGAATATAAGCATCATATATTTTGCTCAAGATATAAAAAATGTAGTACATTAGTGTACAATACTGTAGTACATTTTATAAAAAGTTTTTCAACTGTATTTTTGGGTAGATTTACATAAATTTCTTCATTTATTTTCATCCATTTACATGCACACACCATACTAAAAGAAAAGTAAAAGAAATAAATGACCTTAGTGCAAAGCTGGAGTGCACATGTACTAATTTGATTATGGTACTAAAATTGTTATGTCTAGTGCAAATTATAGCATGTTTATATTCAAATTAATCAGTATCTTACAAGAATCCCAACAATGTTAATTATATTCACCCAGGTCATGTCACTGGCTTTTTATAAGAGAGAAGCTTAGTCACCTAAGAACTGATAAATATACAGGTACACGCGTTAGACCTTGGGCCGCTGCCAACTGTCAAATGTACTACCTCCCCTCCCCCCACGCCCCCTCGCTTGCTCCCACCCTCTCTCTCCCCAATCTGCCCAGCGTTGCTGGAATCCTTGTAAAACAGTGAGTAATTATAATATAAACATCATGTATTTTGCACGAGAAAAATTAATCACCTGTATCACATTACAGTAGTGATTTAAGAGTAAAAGTGTATATATATATATATATATATATATATATATATATATATATATATATATATATATATATATATATATATATATATATATATATATATATATATATATATATATATATATATATATATTAGTACCCCGCTTAACGCGGTCAATAGAGACTGGCCCGACCCCCAAACTCCACTTTTTCCGACACAATACCTATGTTGTAGTAAAAATAACATCTAAATTTTATGATGGTATGCTCACACAATTAATATTTGAGAGAAATACAGTTGCCAGGTTAATGTCCATTCAAATAATGGACTCAAATCCCCCCCCCTCTTCCCAGCTCACTGGCCCCTACCTCTCTGAGAAATGATTGGGTGAAACACTAGATTTTAACGTTTAGTAATAAATAATACCTCAGACTAAAGTTAGGATAATATAATTGACATTTCTGGATTCCTTGCAGGTCAGGGAATATTTTGAATGTAAACTTCATATATTTTGCACAAAAGATAAAATACTTGCTTTGTGTAAACCAAATTATTACATTAGATCTAAAATTTGTATGTCTAATGCAAAATCCATGATGTTTATATTCAAAATGATCATCATATTGTAAGAATTCCAGCAATGTAAATTATATTCTGGTCCAGTAATTTGTATGAATTTTATGAGCTAAAACAAATATCTTCAGTTAATAAAAAAAAAATATTCTTCACGACACTCTCTGTCAATCAAAGTACCCCAACTTGCCTCCCCCCCTCTTCCAACCGCGCCAGATGGTCGATCCGTCCCAACCCTCCCCCCAACCCCCCCACCTTCCCTCCCTACCAGAGAAATGTTGGGTGAAAAAACTAATTTTAACTTTTAGTAACAAATAATACCTCAGACTAAAGTTAGGATAATATAATTGACATTGCTGGATACCTTGTAAGACCAGGAACATTTTGAATATAAATGTCATATATTTTGCACAAAAGATAACATATTTACTCAGAGTAAACATTACATCTAAAATTTGTATGTCTAATGCAAAATCTATGATGTTTATATTCAAAATGATCATCAAATTGTAAGAATTCCAGCAATGTAAATTATATTCTGGCCGGGTAATTTGTATGAATTTTATGAGCTAAAACAAATATCCTCAGTTAGTAAAAAAAAAAATATTCTTCACACCGTGCCAGATGGTCGGTCGGTCCCTCCCTCCCCCCGCACCCCTCACCCCTCACCAACCCTCCCTACTAGATAAATGTGTGGGAAAACCAGAATATTTACCTTTTTAGTAATAAATAATACCTCAGACTAAAGTTAGGATAATATAATTGACATTGCTGGAGTCCTTGTAAGACCAGGAATATTTTGAATATAAATGTCATATTTTGCACAAAAGATAACATATTTACTCAGAGTAAACATTACATCTAAAATTTGTATGTCTAATGCAAAATCTATGATGCTTATATTCAAAATGATCATCAAATTGTAAGAATTCCAGCAATGTAAATTATATTCTGGCCGGGTAATTTGTATGAATTTATGATCTAAATAAAAAAAAAATTATACTTCACGTGTATATGGGTAGATGAACCGCGTAAAGTGAAAGTTCGGTTCTGGCGAGGCACCTCGTATATGAGAAATCGCGTAAAGTGAAACCGCGTAAAGCGGGGTACAACTGTATACAGTGAACCCTCGCTTTACGCGGTACCCTGCCAGAACTGGAATTCCCACTTTACGCCGTGCATCTACTCATATACGCGGGTGAAGTATAATTTTTTTATTTAGCTCATAAAATTCATACAAATTATCCGGCCAGAATATAATTTACATTGCTGGAATTCTTACAATTTGATGATCATTTTGAATATAAGCATCATAGATTTTGCATTAGACATACAAATTTTAGATCTAATGCAAGTACTTTGTTTACTCAGAGCAAATATGTTATCTTTTGTGCAAAATATATGAAGTGTATATTCAAAATATTCCTGGTCTTACAAGGAATCCAGCAATGTCAATTATATTATCCTAACTTTAGTCTGAGGTATTATTTATTACTAAAAATGTAAATGTACTGTTATAACCCAATCATTTCTCTGGTAGGGAGGGAAGGTGGGGGTGAAGGGTAGGGAGGGAGGGAGGGACCCAGGGAGCAGGTGGGAAGAGGGGGGGGAGGTGGGGTATTTTGATTGACAGATAGTATTTTGGTAAGTATATTTTGTTTATTTATTGAAGATATTTGTTTTAGCTCATAAAATTCATACAAATTACCGGGCCAGAATATAATTTACATTGCTGGAATTCTTACAATTTGATGATCATTTTGAATATAAACATCATAGATTTTGCATTAGACATACAAATTTTAGATCTACTTTAAGTATTTTGTTTACGTCTGAGTAAATGTGTTATCTTTTGTGCAAAATATATGACATTTATATTCAAAATATTCCTGGTCTTACAAGGAATCCAGCAATATCAATTATATTATCCTAACTTTAGTTTGAGGTATTATTTATTACTATACCTTAAAATTTAGTGGTTTTCCCCCAAACATTTCTCAGAGAGGGAAGAGCCAGGAGTGTGAGAAGAGGGGGAGGGAGTTGAGTCCATTATTTGAATGGACATTAACTTGGCGACTGTATTTCTCTATTTCTCTTAAGTATTAATTGTGTGCATGTACCATCATAAAATTAAGATGTTATTTTTACTAGAACATAGGTATTGTGTCGGAAAAAGTGGAGTTTGGGGGTCAGCCGGTCTCTTATTTCATTTAATCCCATATGTTATGTTGTTCACTTTACGCGTTTCTCGCTTTTACGCGGGCCTCCGTGGGTTCAATTGACCGTTTAAAGTGAGGGTTCACTGTATAGTATTCCACATACACGTAAGTATAAATACAAAGTTTATGTGATGATCGGACAACGTCCATTTTGGTTAACGTCACGTTTCCAAGAATGTATCTAGGACGTTAACCTGCGCATGACTGTATAGATAAGGGGCGTGGCTTATGGCCAGATTAGCGTGGAAATACTTAAAACTTGTAAAAAAAAATTCACCTTAGTAATTTTTCCTACTGCGCATATATATGTGTGCTATTTCAATAATATCCCTATATGCATAATCATGTAAGGAATCTAAAGAGTAAATACAAAATGAAAAACAAAAAACAGATGCATGTTTTGGCCAGTATAATTTGAAACTTATTGCATTTTCAATCAACTCACATTTTAATAACAGTACTGTATATAAAACACAATTTTCTTTTATGATTTATATACAGTGGGATATGCTATAACGAACGGATCCTACTACGAATATTCCTATAACGAACGGTTTTACCTATAAAATTGAGAATGCTATAACGAACGAAACTCCTACAACGAACATTATTTAAAAAAAATTTTTTTTTTTTTACTAATTTATTGTTTTTTTATTACAAGTATTAATGATATTCTTTATTTCAGGGGTTTAGATGCATATGTATGCACTTTTTTACAATTTTTACAATGTTATATTATATTTTTCAGTGTTAAGTGGTTGTATTTGGGGGCCTGGAACGGATTAATCCTATAACGAATGAATGCTATAACGAACAAGGTTCTAGAACCAATTAGATTCGTTATAGCATACCCCACTGTAGATAGAAAAATGTGTGAGAATCTCAGCTTCCCTATGATAACAACAAAAACTCACTAAGATAAATAATAAGGTATAATTGATTTTAGAAAATATAAGGCGGCCGAAAAACATTTTATCCATATTGATTACTCTATTTCATTCTGAGTTGATTATCGTTTGAAAATAATAAGTTTTGTAAGATTTTATTTACTGGCTGTTTAGTTCCATTCTTGATAGAGTTTATGGTGTTGTAAGAATTTATGGGCAATGTACATTGTAATTTCACGTGAATTTATAAAAAGAAAACGTACTTGAAATGCACTGGAGCCCCTCTCTAGTGCATTTCACGTGGCCGACTGTCAGTTGTTTCTGTCAATCTTTTAGAATACTTTGATCTTTCAAGATCAAAGATTCAAAATTCTCCCTCCACTAATAGTTCCATTTTATAATTTTGGCATAGACGTTCAGAATTAAAAGCATTATATTCTCTCAAAACTGCCCCAAGGGATGGGTTGCCAAACCCATCCCTTGGGGCTGAAATAGTATCTAAGGTTTATAAATGAGTGGGGTTACTCATGACGTTATTGGTTTTGCATATGGTATCATAATTCATCCTATTTCATTACATTATGTAGAGAATAGATGGTATACTGCAGATATCATGGTGATTATCAGGTGCAAGAAGAAAGAACAAAAGGTGCAACTTTCAATCAGAAATACCAACCGACCCGAGACTGTTGTGTATGTGTTATTGTGTTCATTTTCAAATACATCAGGCCTGGGGGGGAGGGGGGGGGCAATACTTTTTTGGGAGAGTGTCCATATTCTGATAACCCCAGGTAACAGATTAGCACTCATAGTTATGCTGTCAATGGAAATTCATTTATTATTAAAAAGGAGACAAGGCCAATAGGGTATGTCCGCTAACTATAGTTGTATTATTTGACGTAGTATATAGAATATGAGAACCAGGCAACGGTAACTGTTCATATAACTATCGTTGTAAAATCGACAAAATGTAAAGAAACTGACTAATGAAAGAGCAAATAAAGAAACAAATAGATTTCCTATACAATATTTGGGCAATATCGGTCACCCAAGCCTAAAACTCACTACTCTACAGTAGCTATCCACCTTCTTGATAAAACATTTATAGTGAAACATAACATATGCTAAATGATCTTATAATGTCTTTGATAATCTTGACGATTTTCCTTGTACTGTCTGTGTTACTGTTATTTACTTACATCAAATCAAATCGCTATGAGATTACAGAGTCGACAACCCCGATGTTGGTTTGTATAAATACATACAGTATACATATTACTTATACATAAGTCCTATATATAAGTATCGTAGCAAACTCGTTAGAATGTGTAGAAAAATATGTAAATTATTTATGATACAGGAAGAAGAAATAGAAAATAAAAAAAGTGCGGTACGATAACCTGGCCATAACGGTCACCTCAGCCTACAGTCGTCCCTTACACATAGCATTACAAACTATAGATACTGTACAGATGTGCAAGACATACACCAGATACATGTTTGCATTATGTACTTTATATATTTATACATAAGTATCGTAACAAACTCGTTGGAATGTACAGAAATTTTTTTTAAAATTATTTATGTCACAGGAAGGAATGGAAATTAATAAAAAAATAAACTGCTGTATGACATTCTGGCCATAATGGTCTCCAGAACTTAACACTGAATTATCACTCACCCCTTTATGTACTGCAAAAGATAACGATGCCAGACACCTGTACCAGGTATACCTTAAACCAATGGGAAAAATGTCACAATTTCACACATACGAGGAGTACTTGTACTACAGGGTTAAGGGAAGAAATATCTTATTCCTTTGTTATACTTGCTGATTTTTATTGCTTGCAGCTGTGAGTCTTATCGCACTGAATCGTAGACTGGGTTGTCTAGACCCCGATATACCTATGGACTCGAAACCAATGAAAATGATCAAAATTGTTAATGAGCTTTTTGATTTACTGAATGAGACGGAAATAAATCTACCATACTGGAAGATCTACCCTACACGTGCCTTCAGAAAACTCAAGAAGAACCACCAGGAATTTTTGGAGTAAGTTTGAAAATTTTTTTGCCAAATGATGAAATGACCTATGTGTATAGACAGTAAATTATATATATATATATGACTGTGTGAAAGAGACTTGTTAACCTGGTGAACACCATCACAGACTTGCAGATTACCACATCCAAGAGACAGAGGCACAACTGAATAGTAATGACAGCAGTGGTCACAAGGAGCCATCTATGATGGAGACTCTCCTACTCACTCCTGGACTGTCCCGCAAAGATGTTGTCACGCTCATTCTTGACATGCTCTTCGCTGGAATTGACACAGTAAGTGTTGCTTTATATTGTGTTTCTGATATACTGTGCTGCTGATCATTGTAAAATTGTCAGAATTTAGATCTTTATGAGACTTGAAATCTATTTCAAGCCATACAAGCACACTAATGTGACAATCATCATCAACAATCCCCTTCATCCTCTCCCTTTGTTTGTGACAGCATGGATCAGTTATTATTTTTTCCTCCACATTGGAGGGATCCTACACAAGCCACTGGCCTCCTTTCCTCAGCATGGCCACCTTTAGTTGGTGGCCATTCAGTAGATAAGATAAATTTCACCTGTGTCTTGCCTTAAAGGTTCATCACATGTGTACTGTATTTCACCTGTGTGTCTTGCATTAAAGGTTCATCACATGTGTACTGTATTTCACCTGTGTGTCTTGCCTTAAAGGTTCATCACATGTGTACTGTACTTCACCTGTGTGTCTTGCCTTAAAGGTTCATCACATGTGTACTGTACTTCACCTGTGTGTCTTACCTTAAAGGTTCATCACATGTGTACTGTACTTCAGCTGTGTGTCTTGCCTTAAAGGTTCATCACATGTGTACTGTATTTCACCTGTGTGTCTTGCCTTAAAGGTTCATCACATGTGTACTGTATGTCACCTGTGTGTCTTGCCTTAAAGGTTCATCACATGTGTACTGTATGTCACCTGTGTGTCTTGCCTTAAAGGTTCATCACATGTGTACTGTACTTCACCTGTGTGTCTTGCCTTAAAGGTTCATCACATGTGTACTGTACTTCACCTGTGTGTCTTGCCTTAAAGGTTCATCACATGTGTACTGTACTTCACCTGTGTGTCTTGCCTTAAAGGTTCATCACATGTGTACTGTACTTCACCTGTGTGTCTTGCCTTAAAGGTTCATCACATGTGTACTGTATTTCACCTGTGTGTCTTGCCTTAAAGGTTCATCACATGTGTACTGTATGTCACCTGTGTGTCTTGCCTTAAAGGTTCATCACATGTGTACTGTACTTCACCTGTGTGTCTTGCCTTAAAGGTTCATCACATGTGTACTGTATGTCACCTGTGTGTCTTGCCTTAAAGGTTCATCACATGTGTACTGTACTTCACCTGTGTGTCTTGCCTTAAAGGTTCATCACATGTGTACTGTATTTCACCTGTGTGTCTTGCCTTAAAGGTTCATCACATGTGTACTGTATTTCACCTGTGTGTCTTGCCTTAAAGGTTCATCAATATGTGTACTGTATGTCACCTGTGTGTCTTGCCTTAAAGGTTCATCACATGTGTACCGTACTTCCGTGTGTCTTGCCTTAAAGGTTCATCACATGTACTGTATGTCACCTGTGTGTCTTGCCTTAAAGGTTCATCACATGTGTACTGTACTTCACCTGTGTGTCTTGCCTTAAAGGTTCATCACATGTGTACTAACTACTACCTGTGTGTCTTGCCTGCTGTTCAATACATGTACTGTATTTCACCTGTGTGTCTTGCCCAAAGGTTCATCATGTGTACTGTGGCGTCACCTGTGTGTCTTGCCTTAAGTAGCTGGGTTCATCACATGTGTACCGTACTTCACCTGTGTGTCTTGCCTTAAAGGTTCATCACAGCGTACTGTATTTCACCTGTGTGTGTCTTGTCTTTTAAAGGTTCATCACATGTGTACTGTATGTCACCTGTGTGTCTTGCCTTTAAAGGCACCATCACATGTGTACTGTACTCTCACCTTGTGTGTCTTGCCTTAAAGGTTCATCACACATGTACTGTACTTCACCTGTGTGTCTTGCCTTAAAGGTTCATCATGTGTACTGTATTTCACCTGTGTGTCTTGCCTTAAAGGTTCATCACATGTGTACTGTACTTCACCTGTGTGTCTTGCCTTTAAAGGTTCACTCACATGTGTACTGTATCACTGCAGTTCTCTGCCCAAAGGTTCATCACATGTACTGTATTTCACCTGTGTGTCTTGGCCTTTAAAGGTTCATCACATGTGTACTGTATTTCACCAGGTGTCTGCCTTAAAGGTTCATCGTTATGTGGTACTGTATGTCACCTGTGTGTCTTTGCCTTAAAGGTTCATCACATGTGTACTGTACTTCACCTGTGTGTCTTGCCTTTTAAAGGTTCATCACATGTGTACCAGCGTCACCTGTGTGTCTTGCCTTAAAAGGTTCATCACATGTGTACTGTATGTCACCTGTGTGTCTTTGCCTTAAAGGTTCATCACATGTGTAAATACGTATTTCACCTGTGTGTCTTGGGCGCGTTCATCACATGTGTACTATATGTCACCTGTGTGTCTTGCCTTAAAGGTTCATCACATGTGTACCGTATTTCACCTGTGTGTCTTGCCTTAGCGTCTTCATCACATGTGTACTGTATGTCACCTGTGTGTTCCTGCCTAAAAGGCTCATCACATGTGTACTGTATTTCACCTGTGTCTTGCCTTTTGAAGGTTCATCACATGTGTACTGCATGTCACCTGTGTGTCTTGCCTTAAAGGTTCATCACATGTACTGTACTTCACCTGTGTGTCTGCCTTAAAGGTCTCATCACATGTGTACTGTACTTCACCTGTGTGTCTTGCCTTAAAGGTTCATCACATGTGTACTGTATGTCACCTGTGTGTCTTGCCTTAAAGGTTCATCACATGTGCGGGTCAGAGTTTCACCACCTGTGTGTCTTGCCTTAAAGGTTCATCATGTACTGTATTTCCTTCACCTGTGTGTCTTGCCTTGAAGGTTCATCACATGTGTACTGTATTTCACCTGTGTGTCTTGCCTTAAAGGTTCATCACATGTACTGTATGTCACCTGTGTGTCTTGCCTTAAAGGTTCATCACATGTGTACTGTATTTCACCTGTGTGTCTTGCCTTAAAGGTTCATCACATGTGTACTGTATTTCACCTGTGTGTCTTGCCTTTTAAAGGTTCATCACATGTGTACTGTATGTCACCTGTGTGTCTTGCCTTAGTTCGTATCACATGTGTACTGTATTTCACCTGTGTGTGTCTTGCCTTAAAGGTTCATCACATGTGTACTGTATGTCACCTGTGTGCTTGCCTTAAAGGTTCATCACATGTGTACCGCAGGCTACCTGTGTGTCTTGCCTTAAAAGGTTCATCACATGTGTACTGTATTTTCACCCTGTGTGTTTGCCTTTAAAGGTTCATCACATGTACTTGTATGTCACCCAGTGTGTCTTGCCTTAAAGGTTCATCACATGTGTACTATATGTCACCTGTGTGTTCCTGTCTTAAAGGTTCATCACATGTGTACCGTACTCTCACCTGTGTGTCTTGCCTTAAAGGTTCATCACATGTGTACTATATGTCACCTGTGTGTCTGCCTTTAAAGGTTCATCACATGCGGTACTGTATTTTACCCGTGTGTCTTGCCTTAAAGGTTCATCACATGTGTACTGTACTTCACCTGTGTGTCTTGCCTTAAAGGTTCATCACATGTACTGTACTTCAATCTGTGTGTCTTGGCTCAAAGTTCATCACATGTGTACTGTATGTCACCTGTGTGTCTTGCCTTAAAGGTTCATCACATGTGTACTGTATTTCACCTGTGTGTCTTTGCTTAAAGGTTCATCACATGTGTACTGTATGTCACCTGTGTGTCTTGCCTTAAAGGTTCATCACATGTGTACTGTATTTCACCTGTGTGTCTTGCCTTAAAGGTTCATCACACATGTGTACTGTACTTCACCTGTGTGTCTTGGCCTTTAAAGGTTCATCACATGTGTACTGTACTCTCACCTGTGTCTTGCCTTAAAGGTTCATCACATGTGTACTGTATTTCACCTGTGCAGTCTTGCCTTAAAGGTTCATCACATGTGTGTACTGTATTTCAATCTGTGTGTCTTGGCCTTAAAGGTTCATCACATGTACTGTACTACCTGTGTGTTCTTGCCTTTAAAGGTTCATCACATGTGTACTGTATGTCACCTGTGTGTCTTGCCTTAAAGGTTCATCACATGTGTACTGTATTTCACCTGTGTGTCTTGCCTTTAAAGGTTCATCACATGTGTACTGTACTTCACCTGTGTGTCTGCCTAAAGGTTCATCACATGTGTACTGTATGTCACCTGTGTGTCTTGCCTTAAAGGTTCATCACATGTGTACTGTATTTCACCTGTGTGTCTTGCCTTAAAGGTTCATCAAGATGTGTACTGTATGTCACCTGTGTGTCTTGCCTTTAAAGGTTCATCACATGTACCGTATGTCACCTTGTGTGTCTTGCCTTAAAGGTTCATCACATGTGTACTGTATTTCACCCAGGTGTGTTCACCAAAGGCTCATCACATGTGTACTGCATGTCACCTGTGTGTCTTGCCTTAAAGGTTCATCACATGTGTACTGTATTTCACCTGTGTGTCTTTGCCTAAAGGTTCATCATTACGTGTACTGTATTTCACCTGTGTGTCTTGCCTTAAAGGTTCATCACATGTGTACTGTATGTCACCGTGTGTCTTGCCTTTAAAGGTTCATCACATGTACTGTATGTCACCTGTGTGTCTTGCCTTAAAGGTTCATCACATGTGTACTGGTATTTCACCTGTGTGCTTGCTCCAAAGGTTCATCACATGTGTACTGTATGTACCTGTGTGTCTTGCCTTAAAGGTTCATCACATGTACTGTACTTCAGCTGTGTGTCTTGCCTTTAAAGGTTCATCACATGTGTACCGTATTTCACCTGTGTGTCTTGCCTTTAAAGGTTCATCACATGTGTACTGTATGTCACCTGTGTAAGTCTTGCCTTAAAGGTTCATCACATGTGTACTGTACTTCAGCTGTGTGTTCTGGCTCTTTTAAAGGTTCATCACATGTGTACCTGTATTTCACCTGTGTGTCTTGCCTTAGTTGTTCATCACATGTGTACTGTATGTCACCTGTGTGTCTTGCCATAAAGGTTCATCACATGTGTACTGTATGTCACCTGTGTGTCTTGCCTAAAGGTTCATCACATGTGTACTGCATTTCACCTGTGTGTGTCTTGCCTTAAAGGTTCATCACAGGTG